GTGCTGCACAGGTATACACATACATACATCATAATGCCAGTCTACCAGCTACAAGGGGGATGACATTTCCTGCTTCATCACATACACACATAATTAGAAAGCATGGACTTGGGATCAGATAGCAGGGGCAGGCTGCCAACCCATCTCAAAGGGAGGTGGTTACCATCTCTACACACAAACTGGCCGGGAAGGAAAACTTGTGAGCTGCATGCTAACCACTTCCAGCCTTGATGGTCACTATAAAAGAGAAGCAAGCCAGTAAGATGCTCATGCTACTGCTAGTCTCAGTCCATTAAAGGACCACCTAACCCCATCCACCAATCAGAGGTTTCCTTTCATTTTCAAAACTGTCGCGGTAAATGCCATTTAAAAGCCAGTTGCTATGGGCGATGGACATGTGTGTGTGCAGTAACCCACAGCAACCGGTGAGATATCAATAGCTTCATATGGCAGGGCTAACAAAAGCCAATTTCTTGATCTGCCATGACAAACGTCACACTGCTGCCCCTGCGCTATGGGGCTCCTTCCTAGCAACCAGTCAGTTTCCAACCATCAGTCAGGAACAGAAATGAATGGATGAATCCTATTGGTTGCTAGGGACAACAAAGAGACTTTGGACCACTTCTGGTACAGGGGAGGGGGGGCTGAACATGTGCACACTGCAAAGCATTCTGGGTATTAAGACTACAGCTAAGCAGCAGCAATGACAGCAGGGCATGCTGGGGCTTTTAGTTCCTCCCCAGCTGGAGGGCCACACAGTAGTTGGTACACCTGTCCTGTAGACATGTCCCCAGCTGCACACACCCCAATGAAGAGAAAGCAGGATCCATGCTAAAAAAAAATTCTTCCCATGCCCTTTTCTTCTTGCTGCTGTTGGGCATGCTGATGGTGTTGTTGTTGGATTTTGTCTGTAAGTTCCCCAGGCTAGCAGCAAATTGTGTTTGTGAACTCGGGGGAGAAAAGACACAATAGAGAGGAGAGGGACTAATACAACACCCTGATTAGGAACAACAGCTCCTGATGTGATTTGTATCAGTGATGAGGCGCAGGAGGGTCCCCACAGCAGCAGCAGTCACACAACGGATACAGACAGGAGAATCTCCCCGGCTCTGACCACCTCCTCCGCCTGTCAAACAGGTCACACCTCCCACTATCCCCTGCACGCCCAGCACGACCCGCCCCCTTCCCCGCGGATCGCACTCTGTCATTGGCTGCGGACCTGGACTCGTCACCAGTGGGCGGGGAGGACGGGGCAGGTGGCGCACTGCGCAGGCGCGTGGCGTGTTTTGGGGGCGGAGACGGGACTGTGTGTGTGTAGTTACAGAAAGGCAGCGGTACGTAGTCAGGGCACGGGGGAAGAATGCAAATCGGGGGGTCGTGGTCACGGGGTGGGCGGAGCCCATAGGAGCCGCACACGGCGGTCGGGGAGGTGACATTTGTGTGTACATGTGCAGGTAACGTATAAGCATATGGGATCCGGTCAGCAGAATCCACGTCCACTAGTGATGGGAGCGGGGACGGGTCAGGAACTTTCTGTTGTAGAGAAGTTGATGATCCCAGGGGTCAGGAAGAGCCCAGCTGTCATCACACCGTGTGCATAGACTATGCGGGTCATTGATGGCAGACTCCACTTGAAGCAAAATAATAATAAATAACCCATATTGGACAAAGAATAAATGTGCATGGATTATTTTTGCATTGGAGTCTGCACAGCATTGTGATCTGTGAATCCCGGGTACCATGATGAGGATCCCGCAGACTATTCCTCCAGCAACAGCCAAAACACTGACTGACACTCCCCCATCCTAATCATCTGTGGCAGGGGCATTCCCCACCCCTTTGTGGCTGTGGGGCAAGGAATGCCCTTTCTGCAACTGATTGACCTGGGGTGTGTCAGTCACAGTTTTGCTCAGGCTTGGGTGAACTTGGTTTGAACTGGTTGTCACCAAGCCCCCTCTCATCAATAATGGGGATCAGAGTGAAGTATGGAAGAGGAACATTATTTCCCCTTCCTAATAGCCCTACATGTAGCTCAGAGATCACTTACCCTTCCTCATCCCTTAAGTGACATTAAAGGCAAATTTTTTTCCCCTCCCCCCAATGTTAGTGTAAGGACTTACCTTAAGTTATCCCTCTTAATCCGATCATCTTCTTTCCAGTAGTTTTTAGCTGTCCCTCCTGCGCTGGTTCCCGTCTCTAAATCCAGCGCTGACTCCTCTGTCCTCCTCTTCTTTCATGTCCCACGGTGTCTGTGCGGGTGCACACTGCTCCATAGACTTACCTTGTGTCTCTCCTCGTCTCCTGGCCAAACATCTGAACTGCGCATGCGCCTGCCACAAGATCCTTTGCAGCCACCTCGGACTCTTCAGATGTTCGGATGGGAGCGCTTAGTGTAGACTCAGGTAACTTTAAACCTGTTTGAAAAAGTTTTTGTTTTTTTAAAGTTTTTGCATATATCTACTGCTTGCTAGCAATAGTTAGCAGGGTTTAAGGGTTTAATAACCCTTTACGTGATATTAAAGTCAAAAGGTTTTAAGCTATATAAGCCACTTACAATGAATGCTGCTCCTTGATGTTTAAAATTTGACTGCAGAATCAGCTGGTCCACTGAGCACTGGTCCTGATATCTTGTGTTAGGGTGACTTTTTTCCCCTATGCAGGGTCCTATTGTGTGTTCCTATTGATCATCCTTGTGTGTGCTAGTAAGCTGTGTGTGTCTCCACAAATAGACATAGCAAATCAAGACACTCTCCTGCTCCCTGTTCTTCACTTCTCTCTCCTTCTTTCTCCAAGCTAGTAGATGAACAGTTGCTGGAGATTACTCTGTGCCATGTGATCTTGTACTGGACGGGAAGTTCAGGGAAGCCGAGCAGAGAGAGTTGGAGCTGTTTGTAAATGATGACTAAGTGTTTGGGGCAAAAATGTAAAGAAATACTTTGCTGGGCAATGTATATTTGTTTGATCTGGATTTAATATTGAGAAAAAGATTGAGACTTTTATAGAACTGTAGTTTAGTAGTCCCTAAGCAGACCTTCCTACCTGTCCCCCTTTTATGGGTGCTGGCAACTCTGCCGCTATGACTCGTTGTATAAAAGGAAAATCTGGAGAGCTCATGCTTCAGCTATGCTCCACACGGTCAGGTACAATTTCCCTATTGCCTCCCAGCAGAGACGGGCCGGGGCTTGGAATGAACCCAGTTCTACTCAGTTTGTCCATGCCTGTTTAAACCTGTGACCACCAATTCCTCTCTCCTTGCCCAATCAGTGGCGGTGATTACGGCGGGGGCACTTCCTGCCCCTTTGTAACATATGGCTGCAGGGCGGGGAATGCTCTTCTCCACAACTGATTAGGTTGGCAGAAAGGGGTCACAGTTTTGGGTGGGTGACTTCGCCAACACCTCCACAAAACTGTTAGTGATACACCCCTCTCCAAGCATTCCCCACCCTGCAGCTACATGTAACAAATGGGCAGGGAATGCCCTGGCCACAACTGATTGGGGGGGGGGGGGTGTCACTGACAGTTTTGCGCTGGTGTAGCACCAAGCTCACGCATATCACTAAAAGCCACTATAATTAAAAGCCACCAACTGCGCTAAGTGTCTGTTGGTGGTTCTCAAAGGGGAGGACATTTATAAATATATCCCCAGCAAGAAGCAATGTGTTAGGAGACAGTTATATACAGATAGCGGGCAGGAAGGAGTTAATAAACATCATCCGTTTGACGCTTCCAACCAACACTTTGCAAGACTACTCGCTGTCATTGACAGTCGGATTTGAGAACTAGCTGCCTCGCAAAGACGTAATGATCACATACCAGGACATTATGGTAGGGTCAAAAGGTATTATTTTGTGGTCAGCTGCATATTTAACCTTTCGCTGCCACTGACATGGAATACGTCGCTGGCAGCGTGCCCCTTTAAACAGTTAGCCGCCGGGACTTTGTTTACATGTGTAAAGCCAATTGTTGGCTTTACACTTGAAACGATTCTGGCGGCTGAGTTGCCACCAGATCACTTCCAGGGCTGCCTCCCTCAGCCCGTCCGACACCCCCGCCTTGCTTTCCAGTCTTCACTGCCCCTCCTGCAGGCCCGGGAATCGGCATCTCGGGTGTTGCGGGAAGCTGGGGAGGAAATCTCCCCACTCAATGAGACCGGAAGCGACCCCTAATGTCACATTAAAGAGTACCTGTCACCACTAGTATGTTATCACATAGGGGGCTTTTAAGCCCACCTATGCGATAGCAATTAAGTAAACAAAAAAAATAAATATAAAGTCCTCCGCATGCACACAAACATTAACATAAACACGCCACGGGTGCGCCTACGCACGAAAACGACGCTTGCACTACACGTGCTAGGTATTTCTTTGTGCGCTAGAGTGTGAGCAATAATTCTAGGGCAAATATTCACGGATATCTATAAACTGATCGATGAAAAACTAAGCGCTAAGGTGAAGATATGTGCAAAAAAGTGAAAGCGATCCAAACCTATTATGTGTATTTAAAACAAGGCTGAGATTCAATACAACCTAATATAATATAATCAATACGGATAAGTTCATATAAAAGTCTTATAAAACCATCAAAAAAACGTCAAAAAATGTTCTAAATGTAGAAAGTTCGGTGAACAGTAGGCACCGTGTGCAGACAAGCAAAAATAACGGTATGTGTGAAGGTGGTCCGGTCTGCCCCTCTCGGGTGGGTACTCACCAAAGGGAAGTTGATAAGAAGCTCTTAGTGAGTAGTAGCGTAATTGGATTACAATTTGGATTAAAATGTGAATTATAACATGTGTGCAAAAAAGGCCTTGTCAGCGAAAGGGTTAAAGAGAGATTGAACACAACTTTTGAAATGACATGAACCTGGCAAAGCTTATATGAGGTTTTACTGATTGGGTTACAACCAGCTGAGCAGCTCTCCTGTTCTGATGCTTGGCAGTTTTTCCATTCATGGTTCCTTGTAGAAGGAACTGCGGCTCTGAACCTAATACCTTTAAAACTAGAAAAGCACACACACTTGTAGACGATTACACATAATATTTATTATTATATTGTGTGATTTTTAGAGTTTCCTTTTATTATTATCTAACTGAATTCTTTAGAGCTTCTGTCAGTCATTTGTTATATCAATACATTGATACATCAATACATTGATATAACACCAAGCTGTCATCATTGCCACCCTCTGCTCAATATACTGCTTTAATGGCCCCCTTCCCCTTGGAGGGAAGACCCATGACACCCTTCAATTCACCATTCAGGGCCTGTTCACACGACGTCCGTATTCTGTGCTGACCTGATCCGTACGCTCCTGCACGAAAAATGCATCCCAATGTATCCCTATGTGTTTTATGGTCTGCAGTTCTCACGTGCCCAGTCCGTTCAGGTTACGACAGAAAAAATACTGCATGTCACATTTTGTACGGTCCGGAAACGCAAAACGCGGCATAAACACACTGCAATGCAGCTAACATACTGACAGCCCCACTCCAGGAAAAAAAAAAAAAAAATTTTTTTTTTTTTTTACTGGAACGCAGCAAAAACGTGGCCAAAACACATAACACCGTGTCTGCAGATCCGCACCTGATCAGGACCTGAAAATCATGTGAACAGGGCCTCACAGTATTGTCCTCAGTCTTCCAGGATGAGTGCGTCTAGGTGTCATTCAACCTGGAAGACTGAGGACATCTTGTGGTGGAAAAAAAGTACTGCGGGGGGTCAGCATTCGGATTGAAAGGTGCATATTGTAACCAGAGCTAATTCATTTTTTTTTAAACTGGCTTGGGGACAATGTGACAAAGAAAAGAGGCAGGAGTTGAGTGCCACTTGTAGAAAGTTCAGTTCTTGTGCTTTATAAATATTTATACTAATAAACAATCCAAGTATTAAATCCTCACCTGTAAATTACCACTAAAACCCAGGAAACTGTCTTTTAATTGTGTTTTTATTTATTTATTTTATTAATTCCACTGTATATATGATTTGAATCAGAATGCAAACCTTATTGCTGATGTAGATTCTTTTTTTTTCAACACTACAGACTTTTCCTGTCACTTCTTTAGAACTGCAGTACCTGAGCTTGTTCAGGCTGCGTATAAAGCTCCGTAAAACTAGTTTATCCCAGCGATGTGCACAAAGTAAGTTCTGTGCTGTGCATGTTATAGCTTATCAGGCACTTAAATTGCTAGGTTGTCTGGATCAAGAGTGAAAGGATGGGTTTGATACCTTGATAATCTCAGGACAAGACAGAAAAGATTGAAATACAGCACTGAATGAAAGAAAAATGCCACCCAAAATGAATATGTGCATCACCGCTACAAACACATTTGCCTCAACAGCTCCATAGTGAAGAATCTGATAGAAGGTTTGCTAAAGGCTAGAAGTATGCAACCCGGGCACTCCGGCTGTGGAGTGTACGGCTTAAAGTGGTCCTAAGGACAGATACTCTAATCTCCTCTGTGGAGCTTTGCAGCTCCCTCGTGATAAGTAACTTTGGTCTCTTGGTTGCCTCTCTGATTAATGCCCTCCTTGCCTGGCCCGTGAGTTTTGGTGGGCGGCCCTCTCTTTGCAGGTTTGTTGTGGTGCAATATTCTTTCCATTTTTTTAAATAATTAACTTAATGATGCTCTGTGGGATGTTCAAAGTTTCGGATTTATTTTGTTTTTACAACCCAACCGTGATCTGTACTTCTCCACATCTTTGTCCCTGACCTCTTTGGAGAGCTCAGTAGTGTTGCAGACTCAGGAGCCTTTCAGAATATTTACTGAGATCATTTAAAACTTGGAATGCACAAAGGTGGACTTTATTTTATGAATTATGTGACTTCTGAAGGTAAGGTAATTGGTTGAAGATATTATGTAGGGGCTTCATAGGAAAGGGGGTGAATACATTTGCATGCACTACTTCTCAGTTTTTTATTTTTTATCATTTTTTAACCCCTTCATGACTGAGGCCTTTTTTTCATTTTTTGTACCCATGTTATATTCCACATTTTAGGCCGGAAAATTACTTAAAACCCCCCAACATTATATATTTTCTGAATGCCAAGACCCTATAGAATAAAATGGTGGTAGTT